AAAAGCTAAAAGTGACTTGAAACCAGTGACTTGCTGTTTCTCAGGATGCCAGCATCCTCATGCCAATGTATAAAACCAGCAAGTGTTGAGAAGAGAATACTCAGCCGCTGGCTCTCACTTGATGTGTAAATTGATGATCCAGCCCATCAATAAAAAAGTCAACATTGCTTTTTGAAGCATGTATTTAATAACTATATTTTTTTGAACATATTGAGAGTAACTCAACTCTTATTTACTCTGGGTTTTATATTTTAAAAAAAAAAGCATTCTCAACATTTTTTTTCCTTTAAAAATATGTTCATTCATTTAACAAATATATGTTTGCGCAAGGGGGTGTAAAGATTCTAAAATTAAAATAATTATAAAGACATGATTTGTTTTCTTGAAGGCATGGACTCCAAAGCTTATTGAAACACTGTCCAGACCTTTGGATAATGCAATTAACCTAAGACATTTTCCTGTTTTAAACTAACATTTCTCTTAGTAGGGAAGAATGGTGTAGTCAAAAAAAGAATTGTGTAATGTGGCCTTAATTCTTCCAAGTACTTGTGGTTTGAGCTTTTGGAAATCAGGTTACCTCTTTTGATTTGTTTCGTCACCTGTTCATTTTTTCAGAAGTTGCAGATTACTACTGATTACATGCTTGATTATATGGCAGGCACTTTTAAAAAATTTTCTCTTTGGGAAATTATAATAGCAAAATCACTTTATTCCTGTTTTACAAAGGAAGAAATTGAGGCTCAAAGAGATTAATTTTCCAAAACCACATAAGTTAGTTGTGGCAGAGTAAAGATTTGAAAGTAATTCTTCCTGGCTTCAAAGACTGCACTCCTTACATGATGCTTGGCTGTCCAATGCAATTGGACTGGGTGATTTTAAAAATCTTTTAAAACTTTAAAACACTTCCATGAAGGAGACTGGAGAAACACTGAGAGTATGGCCCCCAGACACCCTGTTAGCTCAGTGGTGAAGTCACTTCTGAGGTTCACCGTTCAGCTGGGGATTGGACAGCCCCATAAAACCAAATGGGACTAATGCGGCACAGCAGTCTAGGGACAAGGACTAGAAGGCAGAAGGGGACAGGAAAGCTGGTGATAGGGAACCCAAGGTTAAGTAAGGACAGTGCTGACATGTAATGTGGTTGTTAACCATTGTCATAGGGCAACATGTATACTAACTGTTTAATGAGAAACTATTTTGTTCTGTAAACCTTCATCTAAAGTGAGAACAGCAGCGCAACTGGAAGAACATAATCAATGTCACTGAATTGTGCATGTAGAAATTTTTGAAATGGCTATGTATATTTTCACCAAAAAAAAAAGTCGAGAAGGAAGAGGGTTGACATGTCGTGGGGTTGTTAACTAATGTCATAAAACAATATGTGTACTGACTATGTAATGAGAAACTATTTGTTCTGTAAACCTTCACCTAAAGTACAATAAAAAAAACAAAAAACATTTCCACACTCAGCATAACTGGGTGAATAGCCCGGCTGATTTGCACACATGATATTTTGTACTTAGATCTGTCCCTAGCACAAGGGCACTGTTTTGTATTGTTACCCTATTTACATATTTACCTTCCTTCCCCTTATAGACTACTTACCTTACTGTTGGGCCAAAGTTAGGAATCCAGTACACACTTGATGAATGAATAACAGATAAAAAATACAACGTTTTGAGATGACTGTTGTTGACTATGTTCAAGTCCATAAATGCTGCAAATTTAAAAGGATTAATTAAAAAAACCAACTGAGTTTTATTTTATTTTTTTCTGATTGTGGTGATAATATATACAACAAAACATTTGTCAGTTTAACAATTGCTATATGTATAATGGAAACCCTGGTGGCATAGTGGTTAAGCGCTAAGGCTGCTAACCAAAAGGTTGGCTGTTTGAATGCAGCAGGTGCTCCTTGGAAGCTCTGTAGGACAGTTCTACTCTGTCCTGTAGGGTCGCTATGAGTCGGAATCAGCTCAACGGCAACGGGTTTGTTTTTTGTTTTTTGTTTTTAATATGTATAATAGTGGAGCCCTGGTGGCCCAGTGGTTTAGAGCTTGACTGCTAACCAAAAGGTCAGGAGTCTGAATCTACCAGCCGCTCCTTGGAAACCCTATGGGGCAGTTCTACTCTGTCCTGTAGTGTCGCTGTGAGTCAAAATCGACTCAACGGCAAAGGGTTTGGTTTTTTTTAACATGTTCAGTTCATTGATGTTGATTATAGTCTTCATATTATGCAACCATATTGCTATCATTTTCCAAATTATTCCACCACCATTAATATGAAGTCAGTGCCCCCTGAGCAAAAACTCCACTGTTCAACCTTCCCTCTACCCCTGGTAACCACTAATAATCTTTGGTTTCTATTCATTTGTTTATTTCGTATAAGGGAGATCATATCGTATTTGCCCTTTTGTGACTGGCTTTTTTTGCTCAACATAACATTTTAAGGTTCATTCATGTTGTAGCATGCATCAGGACCTTATTTATCTTCATGGCTGAGTAATATTCCATTATGTATATACCACACTTTGTTTATTCATTCATCTGTTGATGGACATTTCAGTTGTTTCTACTTTTTTGGCTATTGTGATAAGTGCTGCAAGAACATTGGTGTACAGGATTCTGTTTGTGTTTGTGCTTTTACTTCTTTCGGATATATACCTAGGATTGGGATTGCTGGGTCATATGGTAGTTCTATGTTCATCTTTTTGAAGAACCGCTTGTTTCCCACAGCAGTAGTATTATTTTACATTCACACCAACAGTGGATGAGGGTTTGGGTTTCTCCACAACCTCACCAAGATTTATTGTTTTCCCTTTTTTTTGATCATTGCCATGTGGTTCTGCAGTTTTTACATTGTCAGTACAATATACAAGTGAGTCGATGGAACAGTCTTGCGATAAGTTCCTAAAAATAACAATCTTCATTAAAAGGTAAAAAATTATATATTTCATAGAGCCATGCTTTTTTTTTTAAAAAAAAAAAGGTAGCAAGGATGACTTTTGCTTTCACTACAAAAATAGTATTGCACACATCTGTTTCATAATATTCCCGAAACAAACATCCATCCATGGGGTAACAATGTTAAAGACTATAGCTACTTGTCAAATATTTAATTTCACTCTAAAGGCAGTTTTTCCCGTTAAGATTGACGTGAGAGGAAGTGAGGCAGCGCCTTCTATAATTTCGGTATTCAGGGAAGACCCACTGAGGAGCTGGCATTTAAGTTAATACCTGGATAAATTTGATGATTTTTTTTTTGTAAAAATCTCTTCCATTTAAATGTAAGTTCCATGAGGGAAGGCACCCTCTTCTGACTTCTACAGCTGTACTTGTTACATCTAGAATTGTGCGAGTACTTTGAAGAGTTGCTCTGTAAATATGTCGAATGACTGAAAGAAAAAGCCAGTGGTATGGCTTTTTGTGAGTGAGCTCGTTCTCAATTGGGCATGATTTTTCTTCCTCAATGGAAATTTGGCAATGTCTGGAGACATTTTTGGTTGTCACTACTGGTTGGGGGGTGCTGTGTGTCTACTGGCATTGAATGGTTACCTTTAAAACATCTTCCTTTAATATTAGGATTCTAATTACAACAGTCACGTAGTAACTCATTTTAAGTAAATGTTCCTCTCTGGTGATGGAATCCAAATATTTGAGATATAATAAATTATTAGCAAATGTTTATTGCACATATGCCCGGAGCATGGCTCAGGAGTATAACGCGTATAAGGCATGGCTTTCTTGTATGAGTTTGTATTCAGAGGTTTTGTTTTTTTTTTTCTGATTTGTTGTGTAGTCTATGGAAAATACATTAGAAACTTTATTTCCATTCCACATGGGCACATGAAAATTATAAGCCGCTAACTATAGCTACTACTTCCTGAAAAAGCATGTGCTTTTTCAGCATAAATTGGTACGGAGAATGCAATGGGTTGGGGAAGGGTGACCGAGTTATAACAGATTCTTCTGTCTAATTACATATAGAGGTGGCAAATCCATTATTAAAATAGTATTTAGTAGTGTCTTATATTTGAAGTGAAAATTGTAATTAAAAAGTGTGTTCTTTCCTACTGCTACTACTTTATCACAGGGGTCTTGTCTATCTAGATATTGTTTCTGTTTCAGTGAATTCACATTTCCTGTGTATCAAGTGATTATTTTAACCTAAGAAGATTCACTAGCATGTTTTAAATATTTTACCATACTATTTTTTTAAATGACTACCATTACTTCTCCAAATCTTGGATTTATACATAATCTCAGGCGTCTACAATGTGATCTGTTAGTTTGCCAACCACATTTAATTATTATTTGATTATTTTGTGTTAGCCTAAATTTGTGTTCTCAAACTTGAATAGTTTCCCTGTTAACTATATTTTATTTTTGAAGAGAGCTTCAGAGTGGCATATGGAAAAATGGTCTAAAACCTTGATTGATTAAACAGAATCTGTTTTTTCCTCCTTTAATATGGGATTATTTAGTTCTGACTCTTCAATATTTTTTTTCAATAAAGGGTAATCATACCATTGATAAGTATGCCTTAATCTCTTACTTAATAATTACTGTTATTAAAGTCATGTTTTGTCTTGTCATTTTAATTAGATGAAAAACTACCAAAGGCCAGGAATTATGCTTTAGAATTCTTTTTATTGTCCACAGGCCCTAGTGTAGAACATTGAAAATAGTAGATGCTCAGCCAACAATTTTATACTGACTTGCAAAATCAAAGAAAAAAGCTAGAGAGTATTACTTGTCATAAATAATAAAACAAAATCAGCATTTGCTCATTCTGGCATTGTTTAATGGGTAAACAGCCAGCACTTTTTCTGTTGAGTGAAAAATCTTTAAAAAGTGAGGTATATGTTTGTGTGTGTGTGTGTGTGTGTGTGCTGAACCTTATATTTGGAATAATTCTTATGCAGCGGAACTATTGTCATGAAAAATTACTTTCATCTCATTTCTCTTTTCTTGTATGTTTTATCACCATACTGTTTTCAGGGACTCCTGAGAGCCTAGCTGAGAAAGAGAGGCAGCTCATGGGTATGATCAATCAACTGACCAGTCTACGAGAGCAGCTATTGGCTGCCCATGATGAGCAGAAGAAGTTGGCTGCCTCTCAGATTGAGAAGCAGCGCCAGCAAATGGAGCTGGCCAAACAGCAGCAAGAACAGGTGAGTAAGAACTAGAGACATTATCCATTTCCTTGGACATTGTTTTGCCTGATATTTATACAACACTATCCTAGGCACACAAAGATGACGGAGAGTACCCCTCACCCCAAGTAAATAGAAAAGAAAAACACCAAAACAAGCAAATGAAAAACTCTAATCTTAAGAATCTTAGCTACTTTGGTAGTAAATAACTCTAAAGTAATGATAATTAAGGTAAAATTTTGATAGATTATGAGCAAAGTACAAAAAAGAACCATGGAGAGTCAAGAGAACATTACAGTCAGGAGCATTGTGAAAAATTTCATAAAACTGGTGAAATTTGAGATGAGTTCTGAAGGATAGGTGGGATTCAACAAGTGGAGTGAATTTCTCTAATTATGGGGCATGAAGTTCAGTGGGGAGGCTATTATGTAACCTAAATAAGGAGTGAGAAGCTAAACTGGGTAGAGTGATGACTGTGGACAAAGAGAAGAAAGGAGTAAATAGGCAGAAGAGTTATGTAAGTAGAATTTTTTGAGTGAATAAAAGGGAGAGGAAAGGTTTTTGAGCCTGAGCAAATAGAGGAAATGTTGATACCATCAACAGAAATAGGGTAAATCAGGAGGATGAATAGAAGGGCAAATTTGGAAAAGAAGATGGATTTATACATGTGGAATTAACACTGTTGTCATTTTGTCCAACTGGAGGTATGTGAAAGTTAGAAATAACAATAAGCAGTTTGGAAGAGAGGACTGCTGAGTTACATTTCTTAGATTATGTACGTAGAGGTGGTAGTTTAAACCATTGGAGCAGATACAATTTATTCATTTATTCAAGAAATAGTAATTGAGTGCTTCTTACTTGCAAGGCACTATACTGATTGCTGCACCTACCTCAATTAACCAGAGAGACAAAGACAAAGTCCCTAATTCTAGTGGAAAGTGAGAGACGATTAACAAAGGAACTGATAAATTAACAAAACAATTTCAGATAGTGATAAGTAATTAGAAGAAATTTTCAAAGAGAAATGTGATAAATACTCATTGGTATGGTGAGGCAGTGCTTCTCAGATGGTTGGATAAATCTTTCTGAGATTGTGGCAGTTGAGCTCAAACCTAAATGATAAAAGAAAGGCAACCATATTAACAGATTGTTATACTTTGTCATAGAGTGGTGGTGTCAGGAGAAAATGTAAAGAGACTTAAGAGTGGAGCCTTGGCAGATGTTCCCATAGAGCCGGTAGAGAGGAAACGAAACATATCCAGAAGCAATCAGAAGGAGAAACAGAAGTGCAGTGTCATAGGAATGAAGAGAAAATGGAGATTTTAAGAAGTAATAGACAACAGTGTTAAATGCTATAACTAATGTCATTATTCTAACACAAATTGGAAGCTACCAGATCTGTCATTTAAATTCTCATTGTTGGCCTTTAAATGTGTTGCTTCTATGGACTTTTAGGAGCAGAAATCTGACAATAAGAACTGACAAATATATAGTGAGAAAATGGAAGCAACACATACAAACTGTTAAGCCATGAAAATTGGTAGTAATTTGAAGGGAAGGTAGAGGGTTTATTTAGTAGGGTCAGCTTACATATAAGGATGGCACCTATTTTTCAGGGCTAAGTCCCTTTATATCCCATGTTACATGTTCAGTCCATCACTATACTGAGTGGAAGAGGGCCCCTATTTAGTCAAAGATATTTGTGTCTCTACAGTGTCTTGGTAGAATATGGTTAAGCACTTGGCTGCTAACTGAAAGGTCAGCAGTTCGAACCCACCAGTAGCTCCACAGGAGAAAAGACTCGAGATCTGCTTCCATAAAGGTTATAGCCTAGAAAGCCCTATGAGGCAGTTCTGCTCTGTCATATAAGGTCACTGTGAGTTAGAACCAACTTCATGGCGCACAACAGCAACAACAATTTGTGTCTGTACACATCACTGCAAAACCCTCTAAACAGC